CTGCTGGAGGATGAGCAGTCATGAGCACAAGCAGACAGAGCAAACCCCAGCCTTTCCTGCAGGTACCAGACAAGGTCCCTTCCACTCGTGCTGCTCCACTCAACAGCTCTGCTGTATTGCTAGAGCTGTTCTTTCTCCCACATGGCTGGTGGAGCAAAGGTTTCCTCCTGGTGCCCTGGAGCACAGACACTGAACAAGAAACTCTGACTGGCTCCAGCTGGGAAAAGGCACCAGCCAGGCGGGCACGAAAGAAAGTGCCATTTGTTTGGAGCATCCATAGCAATGGCTTGCACAGGCCATGAATTAGGCCTTGAATTCAACTTGCAGGCTATAAAGGACCACCCCAAAAGGCTCACAGCTGTATTCTGCAAACCTCATCAGGTTCTCCTTAATCGCTATTCTGTTCTCACTGTATTTCTGAGCTAACTGATTTCATCAGCCCCCAGGACCCCATCCAGGCTGAGCAGATAGCTTTCTGGGCCACAACAAACTGTTAGCAATAAAAAAACCAAAACAAACTCATGTCCACAACATAGTGATGAGTGTCTTCTGAGCCTGCATCACCTGTCAAAGGGGAGCTGAAGTCCGGGGGGGGGAGCTGCGCTTGTCCAGGCAGCAACAAGAAACGTTTGCATGCAAAGCCAAACCTGGATTTTCCTCCGGCTCAGCTCGCAATTGGTCTCTGCAGGATGGGCTCTCTTCTCTTTTATACCCGACCTGGTAACCGGTACGTGACCGCAGGCAGGGACGCCTAACCCCGCCCGGACACCGAGAGCGGGCTCGCTGCGCCGGGAGAGCGGTGCCGACGGGCGGGTGTCGGCGCGGAGCGGGACGGCGGGGACATCTCGGGGACCGCGGGGACATCTCGCGGTCACAGTCTGCTAAAGCACCTCCGCCTCTGTCCCCGTTTCGGCTGGGAAAGGGAAGTCTGCGGGTGGGAGAGTTGTAAGGAAAACTTGAGGTGAAACGGGAGGCTGGCGAGCCGGTGCTGGGGGTACATCCCCCCCGGGATGCTCCGGGGTGCATCCCAGCCTGTGTCACTGGGGTCTTGTGGTCCAGCTCCCGGGTTTTGCTTTAACGACAACATCCAGTCTCCCTAGAGCTCAAGCTCTAAAATTTTCTAACAACATCCCTGATTTAGACATTTTATCTCTGCAGTGGGAGACGAATAGGAGATGCTACCCTGCTGTAACTAGGGGACCTCCAAGGGTTTCATTTGTACAGTAGCCGGGAAGGGCAGCCCGGCTTTGCTCTGATCAGGGATGGCAACCGAGCTCGTACCCAGCAGGACAGAGATTTTAAATCCATCTCTGCTTCGTGGGCCGCAGTGCTCAGGGCAGTCAGAACCAGAGCCTCTTGCCAGGACAGCTGCAAGTTCAACCTGTACTGACAGGGTAACCCCACGGTGGTGACGAAGATGGGGGGGTGCAACGTGAAGGAGCAGCTGTACCACAGGTAGAAGAACCTGAGCTATACAGCTTCAGAAAATGGCATTTTCTAACATTAGGGTGATTTAAGGCTGAGGGTATTTCTCCTTGGCGATACTATCAGCACCTGTTGATGACACTATTCTGCCAGTTCAAGAAATTAAGGGTGTAAAAATCCCATGCAAATAAACAACTTACAGTGATACAGAGCCAGGTCATGTCTTCCCAGGTTTCTACTACAGAAATAGAGAAAAATCCCAGTGTACTGGGTTTAGTCAAATATACTTTCAGTGGCTGATGAAGGATAAATTTGATAAGGGAACCAAGGCTATCCAACCTGCAATAGCTGATTTTCTCCCATTGTGCCAGGCTTTCATTTGTTTCAGGAATCTTTCCCTTTGTCTCCTGAACTTCCAGCATCGCTGCCAGGTGTAAATCAGCCAAGCACAGCCCCAGAACCACTCACCGCTCGAAAGACCCACATAGCAGCTCTTCTGTGTGAACAGCTTGTAAAGTAACTCGAATGCTTCTGGGATAAAAGATACAACAAAATACTTTCCTACTGTAAATAAACCAGAATGATTTTCCTCCAAGTGTCTCACGAGAACATGTGGATGTTGGTCCAGGATTGGATGGGGAACATCAAAGGAGTAGAACAGAGATATTCTGGATGTTGAATTTCAATGCGTGAGTGGCATTTCCTGTTAATTAAAATTCACGAGCAGGCTGCTAATGTGAATGGCTTTTGTGATGGTTGTTGGATTTTTACATTCCTAGAGAAACCATGCATAGGCAGGCCAGGTTCCTTTAAAATACAGTCAAAGTTATAGAAGGTTAGTACAGCACTTGACATAACCTTTCCTGGGAATTTTCATATCTCTACTCACATCACAGACCCTTCAAGAATAATGGGGTTGACTTACCATTAAAAGCTGCTTTTTGCAAATTTTACTACTAGCAGCAGCAAATGGAATCAGAAATTATTTACATAGGCCAGTTCACCCTTGATCCATACAAACACTATATCTTGAAATCTCTGTTTAAAAAGCAAAACCAAAAATCAAGCATGCCAGACTAGTCCTGCTCTCCCAGATGCCTGGATATGAAAAAAGTAGCATTAGGTAATGCTGTCGTCCACACGCCTTAAACCAGATCCCCTGGGGAGCCCTGGGAAATGCAGAGGCTGCTGATAGAGCTGAAAGAAGCCAGGTCTTTGACTAAAGGAGAGGTTTAGGATCCAGGTGCCCCTCACACCTTTCCCGGGGCTGCCAAGGCCCTGCTGGGTGACTTGGGTAAGTCACTGGTCCCCTCTCTGCCTCCGTGTCCCCTGTGGGCACAGAGGTAATAAACCTTCCCTGGTTACATTTGTGAAATACCTTCTCATCTCTGGACAGACAGTGCAACAAACATGCCAGGATGCTGGGAGTGATTTTTGAAGACTTCTACACAAATATTGTGGTCTCAGTCCTCCTTTCATGCCCAAGTAAAACCGTCCTCCCAGATTCTACTGGGATGCACCAAGCCAGAGCTGAGACCACAAGTAAACCTTCAACTCCCACATCTACAACAGACCTGGGCTGGATTATTACCTTCTGAGCCTCAAAATTAGACAACCCAAAGGCCCCTGTTGCCTGTCCTCCAGGCAGGCTGCAGGGACAGAAGCAAACCAATTCCCCTGATCGACTGATCCCCAGCAGCAGCAGCTCTAGCCACAGCAGGACAGCGGGGCAGCAGGACCCTTTCCTGCAGCTTCCACAGGGACGCAGGGAGCAATTTTCCCTTTGCCATTCAGCTCATCCTTGCCAAGGCATGGTGAGGAGCATCCATGCAGAATGATGGTGCCCAAACCCAGCGTGCAGCCAGCATGGAGCTGCCCTGGGGAAAAGGGACAGTGGTAAGGGGTGTTGCCAGCACAGGGGGCTGCCAGGGCTGCACCTCTTCAGCACGGCAGCCCCGAGACGCTGGGCTAGGAGCCTTCCCAGTCCCGTCGCTCCTCTGCTCAACTGGGCTCCGTTTTGGCTCAGACTGGGAGGGAGACCTCACTGCCATCCTGCTCCTCTTGCCCAAATCAGGGTGTGAAGCCAGGGGAGGGGGAGGCTCAGGCTTTGCTTGTCTCCTCTCAGTCTACAGAGCAAACAGGACGATGTGACATGCTAACAAAGGTGCTTTATTGTATGTTTTCCACAATCATAAAGGATTTTGTTTAACTCAAGGATTTTGCTGAACACTGAGGATTTTTCTGACCTTGACTGATCAAAGTTCCACATTCAATTGGTTTCAGTAAAACACACATCCCCCACCCCCCCGACTCCTCACCTACTATGCGACCCTGGGTAATCCTCCCTAGCATCACTGTGCCAGCTCTCCCACCCATCCCCGGGGTTTATCAGCAGCACAGGATTAGGGGGGACACGCAGGATCTCTACCCCGAGGCCAGTCTGTCTTGCCAGCTCCACCCATTTACAATGTCAGAGAAATCCGCCCCAGCAATAGGGAACCAGTCACTCACCCTCCCTAACTCAAGAATCATATCCTTCATCTTTCAATCCAACTATTTCAATGGCTTATGTATTAAATTAAATATTTTATATCTTGCAGAAATTTTAAAAATCAGATAAAATGGTGATTACAACCACAGTAAACTTGCAATGCTTTCACTGAAAGTACCCAAGCAATCTGATTTAAAGAGATGTTAGGAATCAAAGCCTATTTTTCAGAAATGTCAATAATATTCCCATGCAACTTGTCCACTGACCTGTGACTCAGCGGGTCGCTCGCGGGTGAGTCAATCTCACAAACCTAAAACTGGCCACATTCACCAGTGGTGAAACACCACCGACGTCCAAAGTTACGTCAGAAGTTAATTTGGTCCCAAACCTCCATCCGCGTACTCAGTGCAAAGAACCAGGCGGCAATTACTGTCCCAGGTTTTCAAAACACTGAACATGTTTGGAAACAAACCGTTGCCTTCCTGTTTCCAGAGTTTGGAGTGAGGCACCGAGTACTACCAACACAGCTTCTGAATCATCCCTTCACGCACAAACCTGAAGAAACAGTCTTCATCCTCCATGAGAGAATTACTCATGAGATGGTAATGAGACCCCATCCTTCACATCCTGTGAGAGGCACCTGGCCACACCACCATTCCCCCCCACCACCCTGATACACTCACTGACATTGATTTGCACATAAATGATCCAGTTGCCTCCACCCTGATCCCAGGGCTACTCTCCAAAACGAGGTAGGGTATCAGAAGCTAGAGCAGCAACGCTCTCTAGCTTTCATGGGGGGCCAGGCATCTACCCAAAGACGCTCGATGCTTACAGGGTTGTCCAGTTAACAACCACCTACGACAGATGGACTCCAGTAGAGCCTGATTGGTACCTGTGGAAGGTGGGGAAGAGATCTTCATAGAAAATAACAGATGGATGTTGTGACACTGACCAGGATTTCTAAAAATAAAATTAAACCAGAGGATCCCATACAGTGTGAGCAGCCACGTGGCTTTCCTCCTGTGCATACTCTGACGATTCCAGTGCCCAAGTCCTAAGTGAGTGAGTCCTTCCCCAGGGGTGGCTTTGTTCACATTTTATTTAGTGCACTTAAAGTGACATTTTCTACAGCTGTCAAGAGTGAGGTGGCATTTTCCGCATGGATGTTGGCCCATGCAGGGAAGGTCCCCAGCTGGAAGATGCTCTTGGCCCATGTGTTCATAGCCAAGCTAAGAAGCAAAACTCCCATAAGATTCATGAGCAACCCAGTTCTTGCCTGGAAAAGAAATACAAAGACAACTGTTGAGTTTAGACTGGACATCTACAGCATGTGAAGCATGAAGCTATTTGAATATAAACGTTATAAAAATGGAAGGCTTAATTGCCGTTAATACTAGCGACATTTTAAGCAGGATTTCTTAAGCCACAAAGGCCATTCTGCAGATGCTTACCAAGCTTTGATCCATCAAAAACATTAACATCTGTTTAGCCTCAGGAATGTGAACAGGAACTGGGACTCAGCCTAATTTTACTCATAAGCTTTATTTCACTGAGCTCTGGAATGTCTCCTACATCCAGAAACCTATGAAAGTTGAGCTGCTGACACTAGCAGGAACAGGAACAGGGTCTGGGAGATGCTGAACATGTTCAAGACCAGCTTTGTCACCATTTCAAGACACAGTGGCCCCAAATTTCACAGGGCCAGACATCATACAGGCTCCTTCCATATCCCAGTGCCTTCAAACACTGCTGAGACAAGTATCAGACTTCTGTCTTTGCATTTTACTACATATTGAACTAGTAACAATCCAGAAAATTCCTTTTTTAAACACTCCACTCAGGCTGATTGTTTTCAGCATTTTCTGTATCTAGAACTTACCATATCCTTGACCATCAAGTGTCCAGAAGAAAAGGCGATGGAGTTAGGAGGTGTTGAGACTGGCAGCATGAAGGCGTAGGAGCATCCTATAGTTCCTGGTATCATTAAATAGAGGGGATTTACTTTCAGACGAATGGCCTTAAAAAATAGAAAAGAACAGAAATTGTACCTTGGGGATTAGAAGTCACGGGCAGATATATCAAAGAATGCAAACAGCTAGTGCACCGTGCAGGGCTAGATCCCACATTCCATGATAAACGACCGCATATCCAGCCAACATCATCTGAAGGATTATTATCCTTCAGTGTCCACGTTATGCTACAGGCACTCGTTTTGTTGCTCCCAAGGACTTCAGGATGCCTGAAGCCCAGGAGCAGGAGAAATGCACGGTGTGTGTCCCAGCACAGACACAACGCAAACCTGCCCGTCCACGGGGCAGGGCAAAGAGGACGGCAGAGGAGCAGCTGGTCTTGCCATGGGACTACTTACCAGCTCTGCCAAGACAGGCAGAAAGATGATAATAGTGGCTGTGTTGCTGGCGAATTCCGTGAATAAGGCGATGACAATCGTGATGAGGATGACAGCCACGGGCGGTGGTACACCCTCCAAGGGATGCAGACGCCCTCCTATCCAGACAGACAAACCAGACTCCTGCAGAAGGGGAGAGCAAACAAGCTGGAGCGCAGAGCTCCTGCGTCCCTGCAGGGGAACCGATCCTCTTCTAGAACTGCAAATTACGTACAACCCTCGCCGACCCACACAGGCACCTACATGCAGTGTCCTCAGGGCGTTTAACAGCAGTTTGAAAGGGGTTGCAAGATCTCTCAACCTCCTTAGTCACCCGCTGCACACTGTTGTCACTCGGAGATGAGAAACACGTCCTTCGTGCATTGTGACCCTGCAGATGCAAACTTCCCAGAACCAAATGACAACCCTGATAAAACCCAACTCTGTTGGGCAGGGTGACTGCAACATGGCATCTGCTGAGGGCCTCGCCTCACCTCACAGCCCTTTGCCATGGCAAAGCCTCCTCCGAGCAGCAAGATGATGTTCCAGGGCACCGTCTCTTGGGCCTTCCTCCAAGTCAGCAAGGGCTGCGTCTCAGTGTTTGGTGCTACATGAAGAGAAAACCCCCGTGTCAAACACTCGCTCAAAGAGGAGCACGTCAGTCATCATCTGACAGAATGATATCATGAGCCTGACATCAGTGCTAAAGCTCACTAACCACCACTTGCTGGTGGTTAAAATACACATATGGAGTCTCCTAAACTAGACAATTAAAGATCATTTAGCTTAATATCAGATCTTTTAAAAAAAAAAAAAAATTCTAACACTTAAAGTTTTCTTTGAGGCTTTCTTGAGGGAATATTTAACATCAGGTTAATTTTCTCTCTGTAACAGACAGAAACATTGTCCTCAACAAATGGGAGTTTGTGGAAGGAGGAAATTTTCTACCATTGGAATTATGAAGATGTTATTAATTTTCCACTTGCCATTCAACAGTTTTATAGCAAAGAGCCCATCTCCCCTAAAGGCCATCTCTTAATACACAAACAAGTGAGCTCTGTCATAAGGAAGGATGCACGAATGGGACTGTTACTTTCTACTGAACAAGGGCACACGCATTTTATCCAGAAAAGGCCTAATAAAACATCTTTCTGTTTACGGACAGCACCACAAACGCATAGCTCAGAGCATGAGGAGCCCAGGCGGTGCTGCACCACTCGTGAGGCGCCTTCATCAGCTGCAACTCCACATCATACCATCTCTTACTCCAAATGGCTTATGAATTAAAATTTGTATCTCACTGCTACTGAAGAGGACAGACCCCAGATCTCAAAAGTCTCCTGGTACCAAAACCTGCTGGAGAGTTTGGGCTTTAGGAGTTTAAATTCTAATAATTCTGGAAACTGAGGAAGGGCCCCTGTTTCCGAGTACAGATGTTTATGTTCCCTGCTGAGGGACAGGAGCTGTGTGGGAGTGAGCAACCAAACCTCTGTTTCACAGTCAGGTCTGCTATGGTAAATCAACACTGATTTCAGTCCGCTTCAACCCACCATGGCATCATCTCTGACAGCTACATGAGCAACTGAGCCAGCCCTGCAATCGGCAGCAGGGCAGTGACTGCTAAACCTCGTTTGGCACTCCAGAGAGAAAGGCTCTGTGTGATCAAACTGCACCATCAAACCACGCTGCTCCAGACAGCCAGCGCAGCTGCTGTGGGCTGGTGCGACTCCACGGGGGGATAGTCTGGGCTCTTGCTCCGTGCCTGCCCAGCCAGAGCACAGGCAAGGGCAGAGCCCCTGCCCGGAGGGGTCTCCTACTCACCTTTCAAGTCAAACCACCACCTGAAGGAAGGTTTTTGCGAAGGGAAGAAGAACAGTATAATCACAATGGTGATTCCCGTAACTGCATCTGAGATAAACCTGTCCAAAAGCAGCAGAAACACTCGTAAGAAGCACAAGCCTGTAGAATTACAAAGTTTATGAGAACAAGGATTTACCAAAGAAGATTACAAGTTTCCATCAGGTTTGAACAACGCTCGTTGTTTACAGTTCTGTTCTTTTTAATTCCCAGTTAAGCTACATTTCTACGGTGGGCTGTGAACCCCCTAGAAAAGCTGCCCTGCGAATGAGAACCAAGATCTAATCCCCAGCACACTGATGCTCTGGCTGTTCTGACTGCGGAGTCATGGTCAGTCAACAAGGGGTTGTGAGGACAAGTTTCCCCAGCTCACTGCAGGGAGGAAGAGCAGCAGAGCCCACATCATCTCATTTATGTGAGCTCTTTGCAAAACGCTCAGACTCTAAGGGGAAAGGCAGGCTCCATCCAGCAGGAGCTTAAGCATGTGTTTGATTGTAAGGAGCTATTAACTGATGAGGAAAAAGTCCCTAAGTACTTCGGTGTATTAAGGAATCATTTCTTAAGCTAGGGCTTTATTTAAAACAAAAAAAAACTACAAAGGTCTCTTCTGTTAAGAAATAACAACACCCTCTCTGAGATTTAGCATTCCCCAACTGCTACATCCGTTCATCTTCCCAAGGTGTGGATGTCACACGGGAGACAAACTTCCCAAAGAGACAGGATAGCATTTGAGGTCAGCTCCTGCCATCTCTCTTCAGTCTCCAGACATCCAGAGAAACCAATGCGTTGCATAAAGAATTCAGTATTTCCCTGTAAATGTACCTATAAACAGCGTTCCCAACATTAAAGCCCTAGGGATTGCCTCAGATAGATGTATGCCAACTTCCCACCAGGCTTCATATACCTCCTCCAGGAGACAGAAACAATAAAGCTGGCTCTGCTGCTTGAGGGTCACTTTAATTTATTCCAGGAAACCTGAGTAATAGTGTTAAGCAATGGAATAGGAAACCCAGGAATCTCCACGACTTGGAAATGCTTTTGAAAAATGTGACAGTGGAATGAAAATAAAATCTTACCCTGGTGCAAACAAGCTTGCCCATCCTGGAATGAATTTGGGATCCCTGGAGAAAAGCATGATAGCAAACATGCAGAAGAAGAAGAAAATTGCCTGTTCTGCAAACCTAAAATGAGAAGAAATGCAGTTAAGATGCTGATGTGCTAAAGGGGTGGATCCAAGCTGGACAAGTATTGAGCCCAGGCTGCAGCACCTTGGGTGAGAAGCTGGGCTGGTTTTCTAAAAATAACTACAGGGAAACTTTGGAATAGGTTGCAAATCTATCTGCAAATATTGATATTTGCCAGAAATTATCCCTTATGGGAAGACATTAAGAAGAAACAAGATGGACATGAGGAATGCCCAGACCAGATGTCGCAACACAGTATGCAAGGTTCACGCTCCCGCTGTGGCAGGGAGGAAGGGTCAGGCAGCGTCTCATGGTCATTCCTCCCACCACTGCCCTCTGGGATGTCCCTAAGGCAGTGTCAGCCAGGGGTGGCTTCACTGCAGTGCAAGCAGTGTGAAAGGATGGCTGAGATTCACATGTGAGACAGCAGGAACAAACTTCAGGGTCAAAACCTAAACAGCACCCCTTAGACGCCTGACAAAGAGCAGGGTAAATGGCAGTATCATTCACTAAGTACCAGGCTTGACTCTCGTTTTAGTAGATTTGACCAACACAATGCCTCAAAACACTGTTTAAAACCTGAGCACCAGGAAGGGCATTTAAAGCATTGGGAAGAGGCCACTTGCATTGATTTTAAGTTACAGGGTTGCTAATCAAATTGGTAGAGCACAGCTTAATGGACTTTCACTCCAAGATCTCAAAGTGGGACTTTGATTCTTTCAGAGACATTTTGCAGGCTGCTCGATAATGTACTGAATGGAACAAATAAACCAATTTCTTTCATTTACAGCACAGGCACAGACAATTGTCTTTGAAGAACCACCACACAGCAGCAGCAGTAATTACAGTGTCGATAGCATGACACAAACATCCCTGAATCTTCACAGCACTGCTGTAAGTATGAAAATATTATTTTACAGACGAAGAAACACAGACCATTTAAGGTAAGACCTACAGCCTCAAAAAACCTTCACTAGCCCTGGTTGCCAGGAATATCAGTGGCTGGTTGGACATACCTAGGGTTAGATTCTTGGAGACACTCAACTTTTCCTGCTTTCCCTTTTTTGGCATTTCACATAGGTCTAAAACTCATGTTTCCTCCTGCTGGTTTCTTTTCTCCAAAATATGATCCCCATCACCATAATTTGTATCAAGCTGTTTCCAGAAGACAAGAAACTACAATAAGAGAGTCTTGTTCTTTCTTCACCTAATACAGTGAAGGTGTTATTCAGAAAAGCTAATGTATCCCATGACATGGATCCGACTTCTTCCCATATACTTTCTTTGAGCAGCTATTAAGCTTTCTTAAAGTATATGCACAATCCATATGATTCATATCTATCATATGATTCGTCAGCCTTCTCAGCGAACGCTTCCTGCTTTGCACAACAGGTATGGCACAAAATTTCCAATTTCAGCCTGTGTTGGTTAGTATGTAACACGCACAGGACCGGTTTTGCCCCTGGAGTGGAAAAATTACAAACCCAGCATGACTTCACTCTATAATATTAACTTTGTTCTTGAGAAGATTTGAGTACAAGCTGCTATTCGCAATTATTCCCGTTAGTGAAGGGGGAGAGCCTGCCACGTGCAAAGAGCAAACTTCAGCAGGTTACAAACATTCTGAGTGGAAACATCTATTTCATTTCATCCAAAAGACTCCATTTTCCCCACTTCTCTGCCCTTAAGACAGGGCATTTCCAACCCTTTCTTTTTCATTTCAGTCCCGACTTTATGACTCACTTTGTTGGACCCAGTTTCTGATAGTCTTCCTTTATCACTTCTCTGGCTCGGGCTTCTGCATCCACTCTTATATTTGACTTTTTTGTCCTCCAGCCCCTGCCAAGAAAGACAGTTATATCTTTACATGCCTCTGATGTAACTGGCACATCGTAAATGCCGGATTTAGCGCTGCAGCATATGCACAGTGCCTGCTCTGCAGGTTTCAAAGGGCTGGACATTGCTGGTGGCTCAGTTTGCATTATCTTCAGATCATGAAGACTGATGATGAAGGTCTCTGTTGTAGATACAGGCAGTAAGGCCTTATTTTATATATCCTTTCTCTCTGCATTCATACAAAGGGGTAGGAAGTTTCCTCTCATTTATATTCTGAACTGTTTCCTCCATCATGGGCTGTGACTGCCAAAAGAAAGTCCCAACACTGCAGGGTATCCTCACCTCTAGCAGGTACTTGGGCAGAATAACTAGGAAGAGGGTGACATGGAAAACTTATCTGTCCCTTCACTTCTCAAGTCACTTGCAATTTCCTGGGTGATCCCAGGATGCTGCTGAGGATCAACAAAAATGTGAGGAATTTCTAATTGGCCAGGAATGTTAATGTGCTCCTGGCTAAGCCTCTTAGCCCAGCCATGCTGACCCAATACAGTTTGATCCTTTGTAGTATGTGCATACAAATTATATATTCCTATCTCACACCTTATCTCCTGCCACTGAACCGTTTCTAACCCTGCCTGTGACCTTGATTAAACCTAGAAACCCCAACTTTCTGCATCAGATGCATCCACCTGGTCTCGTGGTGCCTGTGCTTCCTTAACTCATTCACCGTTGCAAAGGGATATTGTGGCTGAACCTTCTGTGTGAATGAATGGAGGTTCATTCAGAAATTCCCAAAACTCAAATAGATATACTTGGCCCTTTAATTTTTTAGTTTTCAGGTGTGTGCATTATTGACAGCAGAATCAGCTCAGCTCAGCCAGCTCATACCTAAGCCTTTTAATGTCTTTTGGATTCAAGCAAAGCCAGCCCTGTATCGGAACGATGTCCAGCTGCCTGTACTGTGCTGAAGCCCAGCCACCCTCCCCAAGCTGTTAGAGTCAAAGCAGCCCAGCAAACTCCCGCAGACACTCGGCTGTACTCGCGCAGCTCTGCAGCGTCTCTGCCGAGGCACCTCACCACTGGGGAATACTGGTATCTGCGCCGGCCCAGCTATCCCAATACAGCCAGGCTTTGTGCTGACGAGACGAGCCAAACAAAACAAAAAGCATCACGTTCTCTGAGCACAAGAACAATTTTGCATTTCGCATGGGGCTTTGGCCAGCGCAGCTCCCTCCACCCTCACCTGATGGTCCGGGGCCATGCCGACGGGATGCCAGGGCTGCGCCTCAACCTTCACAGTAGGACATGGGGACTCAGGCTCCGCACGGCACAAGCCTTGGATGCCATGCAGAGCCTCCCACAGCAGCACCCAGAGCCTCCCGTGAAGCCCCACCAGCAATTTAAAGACAGGCATTTGGCATTTTGTGGATTGAAAGTTTCCCATTGATTTTTTCCTGTCTCTGAGACAATGTAAATATTTGGACACCTGTTCTTTTCCCCCGTCTCTCTCTATTTGCATTTTAAACTCAAAATAACAATTACAGACTTTTCTAAATATTAGAAATTCTGTATGGTCCCTGGAGGAAGCAAGCCTGTGAGTTTGTTACCATCACGTATGAGAGTGTGCAGGGGGAAAAAGGGCTCCAAATGAACCAGCACGGCAATGCTGCAATCGTTTTAAGTAGTGTACACTAAGGGTTGCATGTATCCAGCAAAGATTTACCAGAAAAACATGTTATTCTCAGTTACAGATTAACACGTTGTTGTAAAATTAAGCCCTGTTGTGAAGTAATCTGTTTCGAACCCAGGTTTCTGCCCCAGGAACAAACCCTGCCTCTTTCTACGTTCTAGGAGATTCTTGCTACTAATTCCAGGGGAACCAAGATTTCATGCTTGTCTTCAAAGTTCGATTGTGCTTTCCCTTCTGTCCATGAAAATCTGCCACTGACCTCCACAGGCCCAGGTCAGGCAGTAAAACAACTTCAGAAATTGTATGTTTAAGTGAACGACTATGTAACACGTTTTCTGTACAGTTATGTATTTCACTTAGAGAAAGTGTATGTAGCTATGAGGTATCTTTAAAACCCTCCTGTTGCCTATCAACTTCTTAAAAATAGATGATTTGTTACAGCATGAGCATCCTGAAGTTAGTTACGAGACCCCTCACCATCCATGAGATCATCCTGGGTGATATCAGTAGATTTAGTATGAGAATCATGATGAACATGTATTTCACATTGCTGGTATAACCAGACAACATATATGTATAGGGAATATAAACGTACCTCAGGTTAATTCCTCCATACAGGATGGAGATCCACAGCCATCCCAGGAGAAGAAAAATCAGCATTAAAGGAAATGCAAACATAAACCAAGAACCAAAGTTCACCACATCACATTCTGGAAAATAACTAAGCAAATGGGAAAAATCAAGTTAATGCAAGAAGGGAAAACAACCCTTCAATTTAAGGGTAAACAAACATCTGAAATCAGCAGCAAAATATCCCACAAACTTGCCCATGTGCATTTAAAAAACTATTCCTCTGTGTGCATCAGCAGTTATCTGGGCCCCAGGAGGTCTGGGACAACTCTCCCCCCACCACCCATAGCTCCCCCAGCCCAACCTCCACGGGACGATCTGAGAATCTCTCCAGATGGCTGATGCTTTCATACAATGATATTCCTGAACACCCAGGATTAAATCCTGCCACAATAACTTTCGGAGAATCTGAAGGTGACTCTCACAGGGATGCTGAACATGCCTACGAGAACCTGAACGTACTACTTGTAGAGGCCAGCTAAGAGATACCTGTGGGCACTTAGGATGGCACAAATCTCTGTCCCTAGGCATGCAGGAGGCATCTTTTATGACTAAGAAAACAGGCCAGAAGCAGCATGTTCCTTATTTTCCTTGCTACCACACAGCGGTAGATATAATTGCTCACAAAACACTGCATGGCCTGTTTCATCAAAACAGTTACCAGATTAATGGTAAGCATGTAGTCAAGTCCCATTAAGTTCAATGGGATTAAGAGCGTGGGTATGGTGAAGCACATGGGCTCCGGTTTGGCTGACAGCCTGGCTGGGTACGCTGGAGCTAGGGCTGAAACAACTCCTCTCTGCTTTCATCTGCTCACGTTTCCCAGAATGTTCCAGAAGGGCGTAAATTTTCCAGACTAGTTCCCAGCACTGAAGGGAATTTCCTACAGGGCTGGAGAACATGTCTCTGTTTTCCAGGATTTACCGGGCTCTCCAGGATGGCCTCCCATACCTCTTCAGCTGTCCCAGAAGGATGAGGTTTGGGGCAGTTCCCGTCAGCGTTGCTGTACCTCCAATGCTGGCTGCGTACGGGATTGAGATGAGGAAACCTTTCCATATATTTGTTTTATATTCCTCCTCCTTCTTTAAGTCTGAGAGAGCATCACCGGCAACCTCCTTCTCCTCTGTCAGATCTTTGCTTTAAAATAGTCCAAAAGAGAATCCAGTGAAAGCCCTGGTTTAAACATAGCACAACCACTTCAGAGCCTTGACAGAAGGAGAATTCCTAGTTTTTAAAATCCAAGCTAACACTGTCCTCAAGGACACCTAAGCAGCTCAGCGCAGCAAAGGGGTCTGCTCGGTGAACTGCCAGGTGGGACCAGCAGCCTTGCAGAGGGCAGAGCACCCTCAGCACCCGTCCGTAGGAGCTGAGGGTGCACATGCCTTGCCCAGCCCCTCAGCAACTTGTAACACTTAGCATAAAGTCCACAGGACTGCTAAAAGGGAAAAAAAAAAATTTAAAAAATCACAACACCATGAAGAAAGAAATATCTGTTCTGAAAAAATGCTTCCTGCCCGAAGGGAAAAAAAAATTAAAAAAAATCACAACACCATGAGGAAAGAAATATCTGTTCCGAAAAAATGCTTCCTGCCCACTGTTGTTATCAAAGCAGGACCATCACCAGCGTGTAAATCCTGGTTGGTTTTACATCACTGGCTACACAGGTTCGATGTTCCTGAGAAAACCAAGGCACAACTCCCCAGCAGGAGACACCTCTGGCTACCGTTTCAGAGTATCTGGAAAATCTCCGCAATGATTTGGACATTCAGAGGGATGCTGGACACACAGAGGAGGGTTTCTATCATCAGGCTGCTATTGATTGGGTAAAATCAAGACATCTCAGTGATTGAATTTCAAATTCCTAAAACGTAGTCTAGCTCAGGGGATAATTCTCTCTCTCAACTCTCCAATACAAACTTTATAGTTAACTTACTCCTCAGTACTTGCCAGAAACTGCATCTCAGTTGGTACAGTGTAAAGTTTATTCTGCTGTAAAGATGCTGAAAAAGAAAGATTAGGACTTTAAAACAGTTCAAAGCATCTAGAAAATTCTCCTTGAACCAAACAGAGGAATGGAGGGAACAACTGCCATTTACAGAGCAGGGCCTGTGCAAACGAAGGGTGAGCTCATGGCACAGGGATGGGCTGGGAGCGCCCAGTGGGGATGAACGAGCCCATCTCCTCCAGCACCACTCCGGTCCCACCGCAGCACCCAGCTCCTCCTCCAACACTCAGGGGCACTTGGTCCTTTTAGTATGACCACTGGTTGGACTCTGGGATCCTCTAACGTCACCAGGAGTTTCAGGTTGTCCCTTATCAAGTCATGGCTTTGGGGTGGGGTTTTTCTGGGGATAACCATAGCTCATTCTTAGGGAAAAAAAACATTGGGCCTGATGGTCTGTGACGCACATTCCCCGGGGTACAGCAGGAGCACTCCCTGTCTCAGAGCTCCCTTCCCAAGGGACAAGAATTGTACCCCCTGCAGACACCTAGCACAAGGTTACCATAAAGCTGAAACTCACTCTACAAAGACAAGAGTGGGGCACATTTGGGCATTAGGCTTCATAGCAGGTCCTCCAAAATCCACCCTGAAACAAGGACCATTCCCAAGCCCATCATCCCCTCCATAAGTGACAGACCCTGCAGGCTGAGACACCTGTCCCCAGCACAATTTTAGAGCCACCCCCAAGGGAACTCTGTTGCCTGCCCAATTCCCAGGGATCCTCCTGCATATACAGGCTCTACCTCATTTTCCTCCTTATGACCACACAGGGAACAGGAGGAAGACTCAGGAGCACTTAGGGAAAGGGTCTATTTTGACCAGAATGACTAGTGTTGTCTTTGGCAGTAAGCTGGGAGGTGCCCACCACTCTACCACTCACATACACATGGGAGAATTCAGAAATCAAAACACAGGAATGCAATACAATAATACAATCACTCTTTTTTAACAGATCCCACACCAAGGCTTGTGGCATCTGGAGTTCTAGCTCATGGTTTGACCTCCTGAGGTTGGATGTAGAGGTGTGCCATTAACCCCATTTTCCATAGTCCTCCTCAGGACTGAAGCACTCGTGAGTTTTAGCCACCTTCAGCCCTGACAGCCCTTCCCCATCACCCCTGGCTCTGCTGCCTTTCCTAGGGCTCTTCGTACATTTTTTGGGTCCAGAGGCCAGTGTCCCTGCACCTTCCCAGGCTGTGCAGACTGCTGCGTGCAGAGGCCATTTCCCACCACTGCCACCCACTCAGAATCCAAATTTCCTTGCACCCCTCCTCAATCCGAACCACGATCCTCTTCTACCCGTATATGCACTGGAGACCGAAAGCAGCGGACAGAGCGGGGCCAGCGGTCAAAGTCTCCAGACTCACTCGTGTGTGCGCTGAAGACACGAGCTCATTCCAGCTCAGTGAACCAGGGAGTTTTGCAAAGTCATGTTTTACACATCGCTAATTTCCCGAATTGGAGTTAATTGTCTTGGACACACACACATGCTGAGCTTTCATCCCAAGGATGACGCGATGGAGAGATGCGATTAGAAGGACGAACATTAACCCATGGCTGACTGTTGAACCCCCAACACCTTTAGCCCAAGGCCTGTTACCACTGCCATCCCACTCAAACCCAGTGCTGGCTCTACAAAGAGACAGATTTCATGCCACCTCTTAATATTTTTCAATTTTTTTCCCTGCTAAACCCAAACTCCCATCCCACCTCACCAGAACCATCTGTGAGGGACCTCTCAAGGAGGCTCTGCAGAAGACAACTATGCAAAGGAAAGCCAGGGGTGCTGCAGAGCAACCTTTTCCTATGAAACTTGTAAAAAGGAGTTGAAAAATTGTTACCAGTCCCTAAATCAGAAGAGGCCAAAGACCACTGAGGAAGGACCTGGCTGTATACACACACCTCTCCGGGAGCAGCATGAGA